ATGAGCAGTGCTGCTTATTCCTTACCAGCTTTTTCAGCAGCTGTTTGTGTGGTATGAGGTGCTGCTGTGTCCCTTTCTGCACATTGAGGACCTACCAGTCTTCCTCCAGAATCGTACCTCACGTTTCAGCATTTTCTCTTCACTGCTTTTTTTCACACCCTGTTTTTCCTGAAGGGAATCAGAAGCTGGTTTCCCTCTCTTGGAATTTGAGACCCCTTGATTTGTAGTGTAGCTGGTGTTTCTGACTGTGCTGATAGTCATCCTCTTCAGAGCAGATCCACCTCTGGCAAGCAGCCTGAGCTTCTGTGAGGAGTTCCCATGCATCCTGTGTTGCTGCTGTTTGAGGGCTTTGTATCCTTTTTCCTCCTTTCTCTTCATATGTAATGGGTAACACAGTTGAAATGACAGGCTATTTCTCATGAATGTCAATCGAGACAGAAAATCCACTGACGACATAAAGGTTATTGAAACTAATTTTGTCCTTTAGTTTTCTTTCTAGTCTTTAATGTGTTTTTAGCCTGACTTTTCTTCTGTGTTCATGTAGGTTGTTCTCCACCCTCTTCCACAAGACAGCTTTTGAACCTATGGACAAGTTTCAACCAAATATGACAGAGATCTAGGTTCTTAAGATACTGAGTTTCTGTGAATTTAATGGAAAATTTATGGACAGAAGGAGGAGAGACCCACCCATATCGTGTCCTCCCAAGGGAAAAGCTGTACCAGCAGCTCAGCTGTGTTCTCTACCAGAATATTGCTCTTCCCTTATTTAAATTAAAACCTTTGGTCAGAGCCTGCACCTTCTTAGATGCAGGATAATCAACCGCAAAGCTACAGGAAACCAGCTTTATAATGTCTCTTCCTCACAGCATTAATTGTTTTGGTATTTTGGATTTTTGTTTCTGCTTGACTTTTTCTGAACTTGTGGGTGAGGAGTTTATTGGCACTACTTTCCTTTTAGTATTTACAACAAAGCCCTTTCAGATTTTCTCTGGCTGTGGCTGTGTTTCCCTATAGCAGTCTTCTCTCTTAAAAGCCGAACTCTGACACTTACAGCTTCTGATTTTAATCCTTCACTATTAATTTTCTAGCCTAGAAAGTATCTGAATTTATAGTGGGCAGATGAAGTATAGAAACGAAATCACAGCTTCCAGATCATCTTGGCATCCTAAAGAACAATGAGGCAGAAACACAACTTTTCTTTTCCTCCTAGATTTGCTTTAACTGTCTCTTTAGCCAAAAAGATAAAACTTGGGTGAAATTGTTCTCCAGTTAAGTGTGAGCTTTGGTGGATTCCAATGTTGAGAATCGCAGCACTTCCTATAGCGTTTCTCTAAGTAATGCTTTCTGCTTGTGCCTGTTTTACAGCAGTGGCTACCTGTATTTCCCCTTTGGCCTTGGGAAATAGTCCTGGTAGGCTAGTTAAATGTTGGGTTAGAATTTGTGTCTAATTGCAGGCATGTGCAAGGTTTTGTATGGACTCTAGGCTGGGTAGTGTAACTAATGACATTGATCTCATGTGCACCTAGAGCCCTTTCAAACTTGGCTATGATGTGTGCTAGAAATTGGGTACTTCTTTCATCAAGTGGTAGCCTGCCCACTTCATAAGAAGCAAGCCAGTCTTTCGATAATCATGGGTTGTCTTCCCAATATTCCCATAATATGCCCCAAAGGACTGATAAAAACCCTGAAGCAGTTCAATACATTTAAAAAGCCATGGGATTTCCCCTTGATGACCTGCTGGCGTACCAGAGCGAGCCTTCCACTGCATAAGAGTGCAAGGACTTGAAACATTGCTGCTTGTGCTTGGTCTGGGCTAACCCAGCTTCTGATAGTCTTGGTGGCTTTGACAAGCTAGAGCAAGTCCAGAAAACTCTGAAAAGCAGCCTGTTAGACTCAACGCCTTGAGAGCACTCTGATACTATCTATATGTGGCTTCTAGAAAAGTGGCCTTATCTTTTCAAGACAAGGCTGTCTTCTCATGCTGTACACACCAAAGTATTTTCAGTTAACATAAAGGATGTAGCAAAACATGCTTTTTATCTGGCTGAAGTAGAAGGTAAAGTTTCTGATACTGCTAACTCTTAGGCACAACATGGTAGAGTAGCAGAAAAGTAGCTTTTGAAGTCCATCATGTTGAAATGCCTTGGTTTTGCATGTGTTGTGAAATTGTTAAAGATATCGTGAAATACAGGAAGACAGTTCTTTGTGCACAGAAATGCTAATTCTACTGTGAGAACTGTAGTCTTCAATTTCCCTTGTGATTTCTTTTTTTTTTTTTTTTTAAAGAGAAGTGGTCATGTTACTTTTTAATACTCATTTTAATATAGGATATGGTTACATTTACATGCACTTCAGCTTTAGTTGCATTTCAGTGTGTTTCTATTCAGCCTATTTTAGTCTTAAATTGCAAAAGTTCCAAAGAGTCTTTTTGCTTTTGTTTTCTTAGCTTCTTTCGCTTCTAAATTACTATATAAATACATATATATTTAGCTGCTTGCCTTGCCCCATTCACTATGTGTCTCTGTTAAAGAATTCTAAGGACTAGTAGTAGTTTAATGACCTGCTAAACAGCAGTTCAAGGCAGGAATAATTTGTCAAAAACCATGAGAAAATTAATCATTACTTTACTAAAGCCTCTCTGCTGTGTCTGCGTTTGGCCTAGCAAGCTAAACAGGAATCACTGATTCGGATCCTTGCTGCAACCCCGAAAGCAGTCACCCTCTTGTACCCCTCTGTTCAGTTGTGCTGGGAGGTGTTTTTGGCCAAGTGCTAGTTAAGCTTTTACTATGCGGGTTACAAAATCAGCTGGCTGCTCAGTTCTCACTGGGGATGTGGGTACTCGAAGAGATTACAAAATTGTATTTGAAAGCATGGGCACAAAAGAAATAATCCTCTGAGTATTTGCTTCACTGACTTGATTGGTGTGAAAAGAATGAAAATTCAAGGTAGTGAGGTGAGAATACCATGTCTGCTTCTCCTCCTGGTTCTCTGAGATGTGGTAAGGCTCGTTTTAACCTTCCTCCATTTCCCTGGAGTAGCATAAGTGGTAAGAGAGGTCGGAATCATTACAGGTCCTTTTGCAGTTTGTCTTGAACAGTGTAACAGAACTATGCGAACTGGAGATAATCCTTGCTGTGAAAACAAGCTGCTATAGTATTAGACAGAAGCAGATGAAGTTTGGAGTTGAAGCCTCGTGGATGTTGCCGTTAAATGCGATAAAAATTGTCAGACAGGTGCAAATCTGTGTCAGTGGTTTTGACCGCTGTGGGGGAGAATGCCATGCAAAATCTGTGTTAATATTTCTGTCGCTTAGTAACCCTGACCTCAGGGGTTATCTGAAAGGGGCTCAGAGTGGAATTTTGTTCGTTTCCTGAGAGCTCTGCAGAAGCAGCACAGTCCAAGTGCCCCTTTTCCAGAAATCAAGTGAACAGGCGCACTCATATTATGGGAAATATTGATAATTTTCCTGAGCAACTGGGTTTAATTTAACTGTGTTCTGTATAGGGATTGCAAGCGTGAAATGCTTCTATAGTACCTCGTAGTACACGTGACCTGTTTCTGTTCTCCAGGGTTACTTCAAGCCCTGGATAGCAGTAACTGGAGTCTGTTCCAAGCTGTCTAATTGCTGGACTGAATTTGGGCTGGTTGCAGGGAGAGCTTAGCGGAACCGATGTGTTAACTCTTCTGTTTCTGAGCCTCATTCCTTAGTCACCAGCATATAAACTTTGGTGGTGGTTTGGACCAGTTTTCCCTGATGCCCCTTGCTGAATTTGTATTGAAAATTTAATACCTCTTGAGGAAAGGAAAACATCCTTAAAAATAAAATGGCAATCTACCCTACCCCGCCAGTACACAAGCAGGCAGTTCAGGTGGTTGGATATTATTGACGCCTGTAGGTGCCTTTAAGATTGGTTAAACATTTTCCCAAATGCAGCAAGGTTGTTGAAATAGGGAACGTAAAGGCACAGAAGCGTGTGTGTTTGGGGGCCTGGAGACACAACTGGAGGCTGGGAAGAGCTTGTTATGTCTCGGTATGTGGGTAAGTTTAGGATAGGATGCAGATCTTCTGGTTCAGAGGGCTTTATCCACTAGTTTGGTGCTGCTCAAATGGCAGACTGTGGTCTAGGTGGACAGGCTAAGTTTTTGTGGTTCTAGAGTGCCCCATGCTCCTGCAGGGTTTCCATAGTTCTTGCCCTTCTGGTCACTTCAGAAATTGCCACAGCAAGAGATGGGCCCTCGCCAGAGCTGGAGGTGATATTTTGCTTCCAGTAGACTTGGATAAAAATTGACTGGCCCTGAACTGTGTCGTACCTAATGCCTTTTTTGAAACATAATGCTGGAAATGTCAAGTTTGAGCTACAGAGTATCTCCTCCTTAGAAATACAAAATTCTTTGCTGAAAGTAACATCTCTGATGTTTTCACTTATTCCCAAACACAATCCTGACTGAAATCAGAGTGCCACAACAGTAACGGTGTTGCAGCGAATTCTGGATTTCTAGAAACGTACAGTGGGTGAGCTTATGAGGGACAGATGCCCCTATTTCAGTGCCAGGTGACCCGAGAGATAGTAGAAAAGAAGGCAAGAATGAGACAAAATATAGTGAGAAAAGGCTTAGGAGTAGTTGCCTCGTATTTCAGAGAATTTCAGAATTCTCATCAGAAAGTAGTAGTTGGTGACACTTAATCCAAAATACGCGAGGTCTGGCACAAATGTCTGTAGCTTGCTGAAAATACTGCATGCTTTGCTTTGAAAATCTACCTAAAAGAAATTCTGGAAACGTGTAGTTGCCTGATGAGCAAATCTGTATTTGATTCCTCTTTCAGTCTGGCTCTGTTTATGCTGCCAGATATTAAATTAAACTATGTGATACTGTCTTTGTTTTCATTCCAGCCATATAAAATTTTCTACCAGAAGATTTTCATTCCTCAAAATATGCTAATGAAGCTTTGGCTTGACATGTATGGCTACTGATTTGACTGTTGTTTTCTTTTCTTTCAGCTTTGCAGTGTATGGATGATTCCAAGCCGTGTGTTAATGAGGGGAAGTGCATTCCATATCAAAATGGTACAGGATATTGCAAGTAAGTTGTATTCATTTCTAATAAACTTTATTACTAATCTTCTTTCATTCAGGAAAGGAAATGTGATTTTCTTATCGGGTGCAATCAGCATAACTGTTTTAGCACAATTGGTGTTTCTTCAGAATGCATTGATTCTTATGTGTTAGCTTTTTGTAACGTAAGAAATGTGGAATTCTTGTTCAGATTTTTGGGTTTGTATTTCATCAGTTTGATTTCTTTGCATGAGGTTAGGAAACGAGGCCAAAGCAATCATAGAGGTAAACTCTGTACATGGCTTCCAAACCCACAAGTTAAGTTGGAACTTGCTCTCCATCTTATAGCTTGCCTTACTTTATGGAGCTTCATCCCCAGTTTGAATATTTTTATGAGTTTTTTCCAGAACTGCTCTGTACTCTAAAGTGTGCTGGTTCCCTTCCACATGCTGGAGAGAATGTAATATGTGGGAGTTGCAAAAACAAAAAACCCCAAACACCCACATTTGTCTTTATCAAGTAATTGATTTCGGTAAATGTTGACACCCATCTTCAATGGTGCCTTCACTTTGCTGCTGCACAGGAAGCTGATCAGGAGCTTTGGTGGAGTATGTGGTGTCAGGAGAATGATATTGCATCTATTTAAATGCATTTCATCTTTCAAGCTGCAGTATTTAGATTTTTTTTTTTATGAAGTGATATTTTGCAAAAAGATAAACACTTCTTCTTTGTCAAGGTTAATTTACTACACCTGCAGTAAATGGATAGTTTTCTAAACCTTGTTTACTGCAGCAGTGCAAGTTGTGCCATTTTCTAGCATGCTAAGTTTCTCTTAATGCTTTAAATAATATTTTTTAATAATAAAATAATGCTTTAAATAATAATTTTCTTAATTCTTTAAATAATAGTGAGTTTTGTCTTGTCGATTTAGCTTGGTTAACACACAGCTCCACTCTTCACCCTTTTCTACACATCCATCTTCTGTAGCCACAACCCTTAGTTCTTTCTGTTAATGCGGTACCTAAAACTTTATATACTTAAATTGCACCTGTAGCACACAAAGGGAAAATCATAATCTAATTTGAGATTCTTCTCAGTTTCAAATCAATACCTGGTGTGCAGAAAGCCCATAGAAAGGCAAATATGTAACTTATTATTCCCTGTTGGGTTTTTTTCAAATTTTTAACTATTACTGCTTCATAGTCTTCTCCTTTCCATGGCTTTATATTCCTGTCAACAGAAATGAGCTGCCCTTCTGAAAAGAATGCTGGAACTTTTCCTGCTTTTCACTTGTATTTTAAGACTGAAACAAGAAATTGTGTGACGTTAGTAGGTCTTTCTGATGCAGACTTAAGCATGTTAGTCTGGAGCCAAAGTATGTGGGTCACGATGAAGGTAATAAACAATACTGGTATTGATGTTGGTGCTGCTTGTACCTCCCTAAGGATGTTTTCTCCAACTTGCATGTTCCTCTTAACCATCTCTTAGACTGTAAAAAATAAATTAAAAAAAAAAATTTTGTTGGTTTGTCTGAATACCTTTAACTTCTGTTGAGTATTTGTAATGCAGTCCAGATCTTGATGCAGTTCCCTTATCATAGTTGCAGCTTTGACCACTCTTAGATATTATTTTATTTTTTTTTTTTTTTAAGAAAGGAAGGAAAAAGTAGCAAAAAACCCCTCAATTGTGGAGACTATACCTTTAGCAGGCTGCTTCTTAGCATCCTGTTTGGGTTTTACCTTTTTTTTTTTTTTTTTTGCTTTCCTGCACTATGAGGAACTCTGAATAAGGGAACTTTCTGTCTGGTGTAGCAACCTAAATGACTTTCTGAATTTTTGATGGCTGTAAGAGTAGAAATGTTTTGTTCAGGAAACTGAACTTGTTACTAAAGCAAGTGGCTTGGCTTCTAGCTCTGCAGGATCGCTCACTGATGAACTAAATCTCCACCCCTTCCACTTTTTCGAGTTTTCTGCAGTACTTCCTCTGCTGGGCAATAAGTTGTTATAATAGGCTCTCTTCCTCTTTCTGTACCTCCTCTCGGCCAAGTTGTTTGTTCTAGCATGTGGTCAGTCCATCTAGTCAATCTTGCTGTCTGTAAGAAATAAGGGAACAGCTGAGGGAGAACCTGCATCAGAGATAGTAATATGTGATGAATAAGACATACATAACATAAGCCCTGATAAGCAAAATATCTAGTCTAGATATTTGGCAAAGCGGCAAGCGACAGCTTAGTGCTGAAACAGCTTGCTTTGTCAGAAAATCCTATAGCAAGTACTTCATTAAAAGAGAAAGCTAGTTTTCTGCTAAGAGACCTTTATTCTGGTGCATTTGGCTTCTACTATGGGAACAGCAATTGTGACCCTTGTAAGGAAATCGGAGTTGGATCTTTATCAGATTGCTCTTGCAAGCGCCCTTTAAGTAGCTCTGTTCCCCTGGTGACGCTGCTGGCCCATGGCTGTCATTTTGTGGCACTGTTTGATAGAATTGCCGACCTTCTTTGACCTTGATTTTATATTTAGAAAATTACACATTCCTGTGTTTGCGTCTTCCAAGGTCAGAATTTTTGTTTGAGAGATCTTTCTACACGCATTCAGTGACTGGAGTGATGAGGATGCAGACCTTATTCCAAGGAATATGGCCACATCTGCAGTAGCAGTGTGAAGGGAACCTGTCATTCCAAGCTTTCTGGGTCCTGCTTTGACAAAGGGCAGTTTCACTTTGGGGTTTGACTTTGCATTGCACTGTGGTGGGGTTGTTTTTGTTTTTGTTTTTGTTTTTTTGCTGTTGTGGGGGTTTTTTCCCCTTCAAAGCATCTCCAGGCAGCCTTTTGCACATTGAGGTGTTAAGCATGAAGGAGCCACCTTGCATACTCTTATATCCAGCAGAGAAGCAGGGTAACAGTTGGTTGTTGCTTAATGCCAATTGTGAACATCACAGGAAAGTCCTTTCTCATCTCCCTGCTGTTAGATGACTGGGAAAGTAGTAGCAGGAAGCGTCTGGGGGATAGTACTGCTAACTTGCAGTGTTTCTGCAGTTTCAGGCAGGCCAAGAAGTTGTGGGTAAAGGGAGCTGTTTCAAGGACAAGCAGAGCAGAGATTTTGGCAACGCTGCCTGCTGTCTTTTGAGCAGAGTGTCTGCTCTGCTGCAGGTGGACACAGGATTGATCAGTCCCTCTGTGCTTAGACTGGGGCAGGGCCCTGAAGTGGAGAGTATTTTAACTGGTTTCCCCATGTTTGGCAGCTGTGGCCTCTCCCAACTTCCCTCCCCTGTGCCCCAGTGACAGGGAGCAGAAGCAAGACTGCCAGGGAGAGAAGCAGAAGTGAGAAGGAAGGGAGTTGGGGTAGGGGTGCTCCAAGGTTTAGGGACGAAACTGGGCTTTGCTACTTCTTGTGCTTTGTAGGTTTGTAAGATTGGATTTTTCACCTTAGGACTGTTGCATATTGTGTGTCCAGAAGGGATATGGGTACCTCTGTATAAACTGAAGTACTGCTTTAACTCTAATGTCTTTTGTCAGGTGCTGATGATTAAAAAAAAAAAGAAACCAAACCAAAGAATCAAACCAAAAAAAAACCCAAAAACCCAAACCAGTGGCAACCATGATTTGTTTGCTGTGCTTAGTCAAAAGGGGAGACTGCTGACGTTGGCTGATGCCGAAAGGACAGTCTCCTTCAGCATATCCTTTCATGCCCAAAGCTGTCAGGATCTGTGCAGCTTTGTGTGCTTCTGTGCCTCTTCGGTGGGCAGAGTTTTCCTCGCTGTGTGCAGAAGTTTGTGCACACTTTTACATTGAGGGATAGAGTTTTTCCCTCTTATCTGCAGGGTGGCAACAGGAGGACCTCAAAGCGTGCTAAGCTCAAAGCAGCAACAGCGTGGCAGGAAGGGGCTTCTCTCCCAGATCTAACCCTCAGTAACTCCAGCCCACTTGCCAGGTTTTTGACCTACCTTACTTTCCAACTGGATCTTCACAAATTAATTTTAAATTGGATTTAAGAGGACTTTTGAGGCTGAAGGCAAGATCCTAGACTGCAGAACTGCTTCTGAGACTGCAGCAGAATCTTAGGAACTATCTCGAGAGACTAGTCACTCCTAGAACAGTGAATGGGGAATACCCATAGGAGACCTTGGAGCAGGATGAGGTCTGAGAGTTTTCCAGAAGAGGCTAAATGCAAAAGTTGAAAAGTTGTCCCTTTCTGAGAATGGGCTGCCCTTTCCTATTTCCTTCTGTCTCCTTTCAGAAGTTAAAGGAGACCCTGGAGACTAGGGCAGAGGAAAAACAGAAGAGTACACACACTTTTAGCTTCAAATCTGGGAACAGAGTGGTGATTTGAGTCACTCAATCAAAATTTTCTATTGTGATTTACTTGTGCAGACCAAAAGCTGTTCAGAGCTCCGATGGTCAGAAAAAGCTGAACTAAACCTTGCCCGTTCAGAATTTGGTTGCTGTTAATCCTTGGTATACTGTGGAGTGGTACACTGTGGAAGGGCTTTCTGTGGACTAGAAACAATAGCTGTCTACTGCTTTAAATGCACAACAGAGAGGCCGTCCCATCCCATAGTTTGCATTCAAAGTATGACGCATAAATGGGAGCCTTGAGACATGGGAAGGAGCGTTTGTAAAGCTAACCAGAGAATCCTGTTCTCCCTCCTGAGAGGAGGTGTAGGTGTGGGAGTCAGAACCCAAGAGGCAGAGGGAAGTCTGGTTAAAATCTGTAGCAAAATAGCTGAGACCCTTCTCACGTTAGTCATCAGACTGCATTTCCCCCCCCCCCCCCCCCTCTGTTAAAGCATCTTCCAATCCAAGTGAAGGGAGTGTTGGGTTGAGGGGGGGAGAAGCAAGACTACTAGGAAATTCTTCCCTCCGTGTTTTAAATTAAAACCATCTGCTTCCTTCTGTGCATCTCCAGATGATATCACTGGGCCTGAATAGGAAACTCCCATGAAAATCAAACATCTGGAAGACTGGTTAAAACAGTCTATAAGGTGCATTTGAAGAGACTGTCTTATGAATGTGCCCAAGGAAATACAGTATGACAGATGAGGAGGTTTTTCCACCAGGCCAGACATATTTTCCAGAAGTCTTTTGAAAGCAAGAGAGAACTAAGTATTGGGAGTATTCAATGTAGTTTTGTGGCAGAAGAGACAAAAATGCAGCTTTTGTGAGTCTTCTGCTTTCACTTTATAATGTTGTTAGAGTGAATGCGGCTATGTGGATACTTCAAATTTGGATAAATACCTTTGTTTTGTTTTTACTTCTCTTGTTCAGCTCCATGAGAGCCTGAGCTAAGGCAAAGGCAGGCTGGAGCTGAAAAGAAGGAGGAGGGAAAAAAAAAAAAAAAAAAAGGGCTGAGCTCTGACTAAAGTATTTGTGCTGGAAAGTAGCCCAGAGAGAGTAAAGGAGAAGCTTTAATTAGAAGCAGCTGCATAGCTGATGCAGCCCACAGGACATTTTCCCATTTCAAACTCTCTAGCTTTCAGAAATCATGATTTGAATTAAGTTGTATGTGAAATTTGTTCTTAAAAGATTAAATTCCTGTTGAAGTAGGTTAAGAGACCTCATGTGCTTCCAGAAAGTGCCAGAACAAACTTCATCTTCCTGTTTCTGTTTCTGAGTGTTAGATGGAAAACTGAGGAGAAACAGTGGCTTTTATTTGGAAAAGATTTGGTTTCCTGTTCTGAGCATGTCATTTGGAGCTGACACAAGCTGCTACAATTTTAAGCTGCTCTGTAGACAAGTGGCTTTTTTTTTTTTCTTCTAAAGAGAACTTGAAAGAGTAGGTTGGGATGAGAGCAGAGCAGGGGTGGTGGGAAGCTGGAGTTGCTGTTGAGGATAATCATATCCTTTAAAAAAGTCTGGACTTAGACCCCGCTTTTTCAGTGTTTGCCTCTATTTTTAGAGCAACAATGCGGTGCTCAACATGAATCGGGGCAAATATTTGCAGTTTTGCCTACGCCAACATTTAGAACTAAATTACTAGTATTTGTGCCTAGAAATGTTGATGACAGGAGACATGGTTGAAAATCTGGACTGTAGGTTTTTTGTTCTTTAACATTCAAAAAGGATTGCGCTGAATTGCTGGAGGGGAAAATTGCATAACTGTGCGACCAAGCACTTCTCCAGGAGAACAAAATGGTGGGTACAAGGGCTGTGTATACCTGACCTACCATCTTTCCACAGGCAGGCATGTTCCCTCTGGCATATTCTGTAAGGCTTTGTCCTTCCAAATGTAAAGAGCTAAAGTTAAAAGAGCTTTTGGTGTTCCCTGCTGGAGTGCTCCCTCATGTTTTTCTGATTAGCCTCAGAAGATAGCGGAACAAGCCTGGTCTTGGAGCGCTCTTCAACTTTGTACCAGAACATTTGTGTACAAAATGCTGGGCCATTTGTGGGTGGTGGTGGTGGTGAGTGTCGTCTTAGAGCACAGGTCTCAGCTTTCCTTTTTTACTCTGAATCAGTGTGTAGGCTCCCTCCTCCCCGTTACCTAGGGGCAACAGTTAAATGCACCTTCCAGTATCCCTGGGTGTTGGGGGGGTGGGAGAGAAGGCATATTTTGGTGGTTTATTTACTTGTGGGCAAAACATGAGATGTTCTTCTAGACTTTCTAGTTTGTTTTCCAGCCTTTCAATGAAAAAGCACTTTAGGACTTATCTTTTCGGTGTGTTTTGGTTTATTTTGTATGTGTTGGAGTGGTGGGTGGTGTTGGAGGACCTCTTGTTTGCCTGCTGAGGTGCCTTAGGTGGGGTTTTGTGAAGTTCTGGTTTGTTGCTCTTTCTTTCATGATGGAGACAACTACAAGTGCATAGCCTGTGCCTGCTGCTGTTAGTCCGAGGAGCTTGGTGTACTGCTGACACTGAAGGCAGCTGAGCTGCCCAAACCCTCCCCATCACTAGTGGTGGTGAAACCAGAAGAAATCCCTATAATGACATCTTTTAAGCCTTCTGGGACCGAAGTTCAATTTGACTTCACACATTCATCAGCTGCATATAGATGTCCAGAAACACAATTTAACTGTTGTTATCCAGACTGTCTCTGAGCAGAGCTAGCCAGTGCATCGTGTGCAGGCTTGAATGCCGTGGGAGTCGAGCAGTCCTCCAGCTTCTGGCACAGCCGTCTTTGCTGGGTGCCAGATTTCTATGTGATTGAGCTCCTGCAAAGCCGTGCTGTAGCCCGCTGGCGTTTGGACTGATTTCTAACCTCTGTATTGAGGAGGGATTTGGGATGTTAAAGGAAGCCTATAGAACCGCCATGGTTTAGGCCCAGAATAGCCGAAGATTGCCTCTCGTGTGACATGGCAGCAGCTCATGCTGACTGAAAACCTTCAGTTGTTACACCAAGGATGGCACAAGAGGCAGAGGATATTCTGCAAATGGTATTGTCTCAGGATTTGCTTTTTGTGACTTTATTAATCCTGCCTTGCTGTGCGAAAACTCTTCTTTCATGTCTGTTCCTGGGTATGAAGTTGAAAGTATTAAGGTATGGTAAAAGTAGCCTAATTTGGGTGTGGTGAATGGTAAATTACGATTATGCACATCTATTATATGACTTTCCTGCTTTAGACATATGGTTAAAACTAGTTAATAAATTTTAACATGAGAAAAAACAGTTGTGGTCATCTAGTAATGACCCCTTGCGTAACTTGGATAATAACCTCTCTGAATAGCTGTGTTTGAACTAGCGTGCATACTCTTTCTGAAACAGCCAATCCTGGTGTGCTTTTAAACAAGCGTGAGTGATGGAGAAATTCCACTGCAGCCTTAAATGTGTTGTTCCAGTTGTTTCTCTCCACTGCTGTAAGTCCGTGTCTGAAGATAAAGATATTTCTAATTTGCATTTATCTGGCTTGAACTTGTAACTGCTCAGTTCTGTTATCCTTGTACCTTCTAGATTGGGAATTATTGCTAAATCTGAGTTTCTTTGTGCGTACTTGGAGCTTCTGATTAACTGTCTCCTTTCCTTTTCCCTTTAATAAATAGACTGAGCCGCCTGAGCTTTTAATTGTGTCAAGAGTTTTCTATTAATCATTACTGTTGGCTTCTTTGAATGCAATTCAGCTCTTCCTTCTTAAAGAGCAGACACCAGAACTGATGTAATGGTACAGTAATGGTTGTGCCATGCAAGTATTGGGTGCAGCATAATCCCATTTACTCCTGCTTGGTATTTGCTGTTTGTACATCTAAAGTATTCCTGACCGAACTGTCACGCCTGAAATTCATGTTCAGCTGACTGTTGGGAGCCCCCAGAGCAAGTCTGTCTTTCCCAGATCAATCTCTTCTTTTTTTTTTTTTTTTGGGGGTGTGTGTGTGTGTGAAGGATGCTGTATGTGTTTTGTTTCTAGATGTATGACTTTGCAGTGCTAAAGTGCACTTTGTGTGCTGCCTTGTTAGGCGGTTCATGTTACTACTCTCTACCAAGAACTTGTCTTCTGTTCTACCTACATGTTTGACCAGCTTTGATGTTTCCATTGCTATTCATTGATAGAAGTGTTGAATAGCATAGGAACAAAGGCAGATCCCTGTAGTATTCTGTTTAAAACACAGCTTCCTGACCGTTCTTTGATTTTTAAACTGAATTTTAAGGCCTGTCCACTTAGGTGTGGTGGTTTTAGTGGGTTTTTTTGGGTGTGTGTTTTTTTGGTTTTTTTTTTTTTTTTTTTTTCAATCCACTGTACACTTTTAAGTGCATAAGGAAAAGGCAGTCTCTTTACTGTTACATTCTTGTCTGGGGGCTAACTAGAGACTTTGTGTATTTCTTGCAGTTGGAATTGTCTCCTTTAGATTTGAGTAATTTATTGATTTGATAATTGCACCTATTCTGTTAGGTGCGTCATTAGACACGACGCATATCTAATGTCCGCCTTTGAATTTTTTGCAGTAAAATAGACGTTTTTTTTCCTAGGCTGACTGTATCTTTGGTTACTTACCAATTGAAGCATGCAGCTGTGCATTGTAGAAGAAACTGCAAGTGGATAGTCCTGTTCTGTGTGTTAGGTGTTATTTTTATCCAGCATATACTCTTGCAGCTTTCTCCTACCTGAAAGAAGCAAATGGAACTGTGGGTGACACAAAGGTGGGGTTTGCAGGGTTGCTTGCCTGGATCCTGTGTTGCTGGAAGTTAAATGGAAAATTCGTGGTACAAAGGCCAGTTAAAAGATGGATTACAGCTGACAAGTGTAGTCAGACTGTATTGACATAAGTTTAGGTTAGAGACAAATAACTGCAATTATTCTGCAATCACAGATCTTTGTATAAAATATTACCATAGTTGTAGATAGCGTGTGTGTACTCGTTTTTCTGTGGGAGACAGAGGAACAGTGACCTTGTCGTTAGGGTGCTAGCCAGGGGCGTGGGAGACCTGACTTCAGTGCTTGTGTTGCTAGTTGAGTGCAGACTTAAGCATGTCACAGTCCCAGATGCACTTATCAACACGAGGATAACAGTATATTCCTGTCTCACGGGAGTGTTGTGGAGAAAATCTGCTACAGATCTTCAGGCCCTCAGACACTGCATTTGTACAAGGTTTATAAATATTTTGGAAGATGGATAATACCTGGTGTTGAAACCTGTTACTGAAACTGCCTGGTTTTCTTCTAAAAAAGGATGCTTATTAGAATGGGAGTAGGTGCAAGGAATTAATTGTTACTCAGCAGTTCTTTAACACTTAGGCTTTTACTCAAGTTTTGAAGGGGAGTGCAAGAATAAATTCCTGCATTTGATGTAATTCTGATTGTATGCAGTATTTATTTATTTTGTAGTGAGCGATTTCACAATTTGAACGCAAGTTTTCAGTGGTCTCGTTTGGGACAATCCCAGAGGAAGGCCCTGTTACATCTATGACATCAGCATTTGGGTCTGTTAGTGTTACCATTAATTATGGCAAATTCTAAGACTTTCGATGGTCATGGGACTTCATTCCTGGTATCTTCCCAGGACAGCAAGGCTTCAAGTGAATGTGCTGCAAGTAATTTCTTCTCTGTTGCAGGTGTCGAGAAGGCTTTCTTGGAGACTACTGTCAGTACAGAAACCCCTGCGACAGCAATACCTGTAAGAACGGGGGAACTTGTGAAACTACATCTCTGATAGGAAAGGCTACCTGCAAATGTGCTCCAGGGTTCACAGGAGAGGATTGTCAATACTCTGAATCACACCTCTGCTATGTGTCCCAGCCCTGCCTGAACGGAGGAACTTGTCATCCCCACGGCCAGGAAACGTATGAGTGTGTCTGTCCTCCAGGTTACACAGGTGGGGTTCTGCGTTTGTACCTCCAGACTCCCTCCTTTGTGGATTAATTCACCCTGGAATGTTCTGGGGCAGTGGCAATATGCTCTCAAATTTGCTAGCTCCAGCACAGGAAATGAGAAGAAGTCTGAATGACTTCATGACCAAAAAAAGGAAAGGAGTTAGGGGATCAACCTCCCTACCCTTTACACGTAAGCAGAAAGACATTTGGATCTTGTGGGGTAGTCCATGTGGGAAAACTGAGTGCAGAAGCTACTCTGGAGTGGCTGTTGCACTTTGAATTCAGTCACCTTCTAGAAAAAATGAAGTAAATTTGGTCAGCAAAATCTTTCTATGGGAAAACTGTAATTGAGTGCCTGAGGGGAAGCATGGAAACTTACTCTTTTCATTCTTGGAAGGGGATGTAGAAGAAGAGTGACTGTCAGTGTGCAATATGACTTCAGGTCATGGGTTATTTTTATAAATCACAACATTCTGTATCTTGCTGCTGCCCTATAAATAGAATGACTTCGTAGCGTAACTGCAAATTGATCTTTGTTTCAAATATAATTCTGTAAAATGCAGGTATAAATTTTCCTGTAATAGTGTTAAGATTTAGTACACCAATCATTTTGAGGTAGCATGAAGGAAATAGTATTTTCCATTGAAATAACTTTTCATTAATGGAGTGCTCTGTCTTGATCCTACAGGAAAGGGTTGCCAGTGGATTGATGCCTGTGTGTCTCAGCCGTGTGCCAATGGAAGTACATGTACTGTATCTGGAAATAAGTTCTCCTGCATCTGTCTGTCCGGCTACACTGGCCAGAAGTGCGAGATAGATGTGAATGAATGTGCCACACCAGGCCTTTGTCAACATGGTGGGACCTGTGTCAATTTGCCCGGTTCATACCGATGCCAGTGCAAGCCAGGCTATACAGGGCATCGCTGTGAAAGCGTGTATGTGCCGTGTTCCCCGTCACCCTGCATGAATGGAGGAACTTGTCATCAAACGAGTGACTTCGCCTTTGAGTGCAACTGTCTGCCAGGTAAATGATGCTTCTTCAAAGTGCTTGGTTTTGTAGTCTTGTCACTGCATTCCTGTCTGTGTTCTGAAAACTTCTCTTGGAGTTTCTGTGTGATATTTGTGTAACGTAAGGTTGAAGGGAGAAATCTCAGCCAGGCAGGAAGCTCTGCTAGGATGTCAATTTCTGAGTGTCAGGATTTCGTAATATGGAAGGGAAGAAGGCTAGAAATGACAGATTTCTTTGGAACCCAGTTAGAGGCAGAGAATCAAATAGGTAAGAACTATGAGGTAGAATCAAGGAGATTAGGGTGATTATCTCCTAATGCCCATTTGGAATGAAAAATTCCATGAACGTAAACCTCTACAAATACATGGTCTTGTGTCAGAAAAGGCCACAGTTAACTTCGGTGCTTGAGTGAAGATGAACATGTGTCTTCTCAGTCTTTATCCCTAAAATATATTGGGCTCTATTCCCTTCCTTTTTCTTCTCCAGTTCCTCCAAATCTTATGAGATATAATTTCCAACTCGCCACACTCTTTTTGTCCTGTAATACCTCCAGATAAATTATGCTTGCTTGTTTCTGACACTGTTAGCTGCCCTGAGTTCATCCACAGCAGGGATGGGGTGCTTACTCAGGATCACGGGCTGTATTGGTTTTATGTGTCAAGCTGGGCTCCAGTCTCCAAGGCACCTGTCTCTACAAATGACCATATGTCACCTGGTTGGGACCCTGGCGGGGTCTCATCCTGTCCGGCTCCTCCCCATCCACTTGTTATACTGACCATGGGGCAGTATGAGTCATCTTTGCATATCAGGGTTTTTTTTTAAGGCTGATATTTTTTTACTGAGTAATTCAGTCCATGGGAAACTGATTGTTTGGAAATGCTTTTGACTAGACTTCCTACTTGAGTGTATTGCAGTTTGGCACATGAACACTTGGTGTGTGGTAATCTAGAAAAGTAAACTCTCTTCCCTTAAGCATTTTTCTGTTGTTATTTATGTAAAAGATGTAGCTGCTATATACTGTTTAGGACGAATGTAGAGTGACTGCGTTCTCATGAGGATCATCTGGAGTTACAGGTATGTGCGGAAAGAGCATTTAGAACTTGTGAAAAATAACCTTTGTCTTGAAGTGTAGGCTCAAATGACCTTAAATGTACATTGCCAACCTTAGCTAGTGCCTGCACAACACTTTCTGGGTTGTCTGAGCAAGCATGTGACTTTGAAGAATTTAGGATAGTGGATCTTAAAATAGAAGGATGTATCATCTTTATTTTTGTGTGAAAGCAACCATTTCTAACTATGCTTGAAGAAACAGTGCTTGAACATGCAGGTTCTTTGAAAATGCTGGATCTTAACTAACAGTTGCTCTCAGGGAATTTATTGCTTTCCTGCTTTGCATCTTTTTAAAATGAAATCGTAAACTAAGTATCTCTGGATTAACAGGCTTGATCTCAAATTCAGAATTTCTTAGTCAGATCTGTTTAGCCAGTTCAAGGAGTTTAAGATCTCATGCAGAAGCAGTGTGGTGAGGGGGGAAGAAGAGAGGAAGATGAAGTTGGAAAGACTTGATCCTGTAAAGCTGATAAGACAGTTTGATTTCATGACTCTTAATAGGGACACGAGACTGGGTAGAAGCACATTTTCCCTTAGACAAGTGTGTGGGCTGGCTAAACTACGGTCAGGAAATGAAAATGAGATTACTATAGTAACAGTTACACACCCACACTGCTCACACACGTTTTGGATTATTAGCTGCTTTTTTGGCCTTGTTACACAACGTGTATAGTGGGGGTGAGTTAATGCGGCTTTGAGAGCCTTCATTTCTGTATTTCCTGTATTTGTTTAAGTTGGCCATGTTCTTTTGCTAGCTTGATTTTTAAAACTAGTCATTTGAAAAACAGCAAAAAAAGAGAGAGGTTGAAGAGGTCAAAATGCTTGCATTAAACTCTTCGGTAAAGGCAAGACACCCGGCCATTTCTTTCCCTTTGCAGCTAAGCATGCAGCATAAAAATTCTGAAGTGTTGGAAAAGGCTCTGTCTGGGAGGGAAAGGTCAACAGAGAGAAGAGAAATGGTGGTCTGTCACACCCAGGGAAGATGTGAACAAGGCCTCTCATCTGGAAGAGAGTGCCAAGAGTATGGACTAGAAATTCCTCTTTAGACTCATTCTCTGAATTGGAGCAATGCCGATGATACTGTGACTATAAATGGAATTGCTCTAGCCCTTCCTTCTGGACTGCCTTAAGATGTTTTGACCATAGAGGCAGGAGGCAGTTACATCTTGAACTGCTGGAATGGGTTTTGATAGGACTTTTCATCTTGTGACCTGTGAAACTACTTTGAACAAACTGATTGTGCTTGTTTCCTGTAGCTGTTTTCTTCTTTGCTTTTGAGTGAATTTCATTTTTTTGTACATACAGATACATGAGAATCAGAGCTTGAAAATATGGAAAAAGCCTATAACCTGGAGTTTCACATCACAGCGGCTTTTTCTACAGTAGTGCGAGTACTGTTTATCCACAGTGTAGTCAAGCTGCTATTTTAAATTCTCAGGTTCCCATTTCACTTGCGGATTTATACAAACAAATCTTGCATTAGGTCATTCATGAGGTCACGTTAGAAGAGGTCAGCATTTGATGCCAAGTGTAAGTGAAGAGTTAGGTACTGTCAGTATTACATCTGTATGAAAGGTAACTTCTTGTTTTCTATCTGTCTGGCGTAATCATTTTTCCTCTGGACTTTGATTTAGCTAGAAACAAGATTGTAGACAAGTGAGCATGTTAGGTCAATCATAACAGAGAGTCATAGTAAAAAAAAAAAATACTGTGAAAGAGACTTAACCTGAAGCATTAACAACTCCTTTAAATGTAAGAATGAGCTCATAGTTACAAATATTTGACAAAAAAGGAGTTCATTTGGCAACTAACCTTTAACGGAATGTTAAACAAGTCAATAGAGGAAGTTCTTAGCTGGGAAAGTGATTATTCATTGTTATCCATCAAAATAATTACCCATTAACTAAGATAAGGACCCCAGGGAATTCTAAGGGCTTGTTCAGGAAACGATCTGTCAGGCTGGAGCGGGCTGTTTATGAGAGCTGGAACACTTCCTGGGAAGAGGAAGTAGCCTCACGCAGTTCGTAGCGGAACGTCACGCTGTGCCGCACGGTGAGCATCATGAAGGGGGTCGAACAGGCGTGCTGCATTTCCCGTTGTGGAGGAGACCCTGCTTGCTGCTATTAGGGGTGGACTGCTGCTTGTGGGGTGTGAGGTTCTGCATGGTGGTGGTCTTGGGGTGGCGTGTGTGCCTCTGCTCCCCGCGAGCTGGCTTGCTTACATGGAGTAGCCCACCCCGCATTATTTCAAAAAGCTGAACGGCCGGAATTGCATGCAGGCAACTGCTGTGGGGCACCTGGTATGCAGAGCTTTACTTCTGTGTTAAAATGATGCAGGTCAGTTTTAACACTGTGTTGAATTCCCCAATTTCTTGTCAGCAGGCCCTAAATCTGGCAATAACCTGACATTTTCATTCAAGTATAGTTTCTGATTACTACTAACAACTAACTGGTCCTGCAGAAAGTCTGAGGGGTGGTTTATAGGTTGAAATAAGGCTAAGGATTAAGATTTGGAGGGAATTGGATATGGTGCTCTGGAATGGGGTGGAGAATTCAGATGACATAGGAGTAAAGTTATCTGCTTGCATCCGTCTGTGTACTAGAGGAGGAACAACATGCCGTTATCAGTGGGAACGCTTTTCCCCTTGAGGTTCTTGTTCCTTGGTTTGATGTGCTTGGAGACAGGGAGCAAAAGTCAGGATATGTATTGCAAACTGTTTTCTCTTGGAGGGAGAAAGCAAAGGACAACATGCAAGTCCCAGCACAGGGGGGAACAGGAAACAGTGTCAGGTGTACAAATATATCAAAACAGTGAACTCTCTGGCTTTCTGCAAAAGACTTAGGTTGTGTAACTGCTAAATCAGATCCTGGGACCCAGCTTAAGAAAAGCTTACATGTCTTGGAGCAACTTTGTGCTTGTCATGCTCAAACGTAGGTGTGTTGGCCCAATCAACCATGACTCTAAAGGACTGATTTTAAGAATGAAAGCTAAACTTAAGTAGGACAGTTTTATTTACAAATTAAGGCGATTGCAATATTGCAGTGTAAGTTGGACTTGAAGAGGACACAGAAATCATGTTTTTAGATGTTCTGAAATGAAGCCAAAAGTTGTTTTTCAGAGTAAGACAAATTTAAAGGGAATTTGGGAGTTGGGAAGTTACCAAAAAGGAAATTTGTGTTTTCTTCAGCTGTGCATTCAAAGTAGTGTCATCTTCACCTTTTCAACCCTTCCTGATTCCCTTTCCCTTGGAGATGCCTCTTGACTGAGCACACTTGGCTGTGTGTCGTTTCTCTTGAACCTTTTACTACATCGCTTTTTTTTGTAAGCTCTTTTTGTTGCTATTCTACTGTCACTACTGGTATCCTCCAGCTTTTAGTGTGGGATTGATGGTTTTCTACATTTGCATGAGATGCTTGAGGTCTAGCTCCTAGATGCTAGTATAGCTGGTTAAAATGTGAAAATGTACAGTGGCTTGATGAGGTTTTAGTATTAGCAGGACTTCCACACTTTATTATTACTCAGAATCATTGGTCTGCTTTAAATTTGTGTGCAGTACAGTGAGATAGTTTTAAATAAATGCCTGCTAGTAAACTAGTCAGGAACTAGTTTACTAGAAAGGTAGGGTAGGTCTTCATATTGTCCAAGCTGAAAGGTTAAGAAATTAAACCTTTCACATTTGTGGTTCTGGGTGTATTTCCATGTTGATCGCATTGCTGGCATGAATGCAGTCAGTGGGATGATTCTCCTCAGCTGAAAAGTAAGCTGATAGGACACTGCTGTGTTTTACAGCTGAGCCTTTCTTTGGTCACGCATGGTAGCTTTATAGAGTTTTAAACATAGTGATCTCATACTAATTGTATTCCTTGATAGTTGTTCCTCACCAGCTTTTGCCAGGAAGGTGCTGT